TCTTCTTCTTCTTCTTCTTCTTCTTCTTCTTCTTCTTCTTCTTCTTCTTCTTCTTCTTGCTCTTCTTGCTCTTGCTCTTCTTGCTCTTGCTCTTCTTCTTCTTCTTCTTCTTCTTCTTCTTCTTCTTCTTCTTCTTCTTCTTCTTCGTCTTCTTCTTGCTCTTCTTGCTCTTGCTCTTCTTGCTCTTGCTCTTCTTGCTCTTCTTGCTCTTCTTGCTCTTCTTCTTCTTGCTCTTCTTCTTCGTCTTGCTCTTCTTCTTCGTCTCATCTCATTCAGTTCTTGAGTCATGGTGAATGACGTTGTCTCTAAGTTGAGTCTTTCACTACGATAGCAGGTTGCTTTCAAGAAGGCTCGTTCTGTGCCACAGCACTGGCAAGGTTTCGAATGATAGTGACGGCAGCAGTGAACTGCATTGAAAGGAAGACCCTTGTAGAGGACTATCTGATCTATGCTGGTTGTACAAGATGAGCATTTTTTTTTTTTTTTTTTTTTTTAATAAAGATGAGCGTTTGTAGGTCGGTTGGTCATCTTCTTTGGTTGGTGACTCAATTCTTATCCGAAGAGCTTAAATTGGAGCCTCATCAGCAGGTGTGAAATTGAGTCGGTACGCTTGCATTTTATAGTGCAAAAAGGCCCTTGTGTTTTTTTCCTTTGGCTGGTCGTCTTCTTCCTTTGATGAATGTCAAATTTAATAATGATTGCAGCGATATGACGGTTTTCAGGCTGCATATCGCCACTGCTCACAGCCGTGTATTTGTGGTGCTTTTGCTTTCTCTCGCATGTTTGTGGCCATCCAGGGTCACAAGGCTGGATGGATATACATGACTAATCTGTTGAGGAGGTCGATCGATACATAACACTCGGAACGACCTGCTGAAGCGCCCCGGTTATGGGAATGTAATAGGGTGATCTGGACCTGCTGAAGCGCCCCGGTTATGGGAATGTAATAGTGTGCAGATCACCCCTTAGCTGGCAAGGACCTGCTGCAGTGCAACAAGAGGTTCTGGACGATGAGGCAAGGTGGAGGGGAAGAGGGGGCACAGGTGTGAGGCATACATATTTTGCGACACCAACATTCCTTTACTCGCTTATGACCCGCTGCTCTCCCCTTGCCTCACTCACCTGTGTCCCTTGAGAAGAAAAATAAACTTGTGGTGGTCCACTGCACATTTCGGACTGAGTGTTGATGCCCATCAGAAAACTTGCGGAGACATCGAGCACAGGCTGCTTGTTCTGTGGAGTGTTGTGTTGAGATGAAGTGTTGTCATGGAAGCGGTCGCTAAGTGCTCTCTTGGAGTGGATCATTGAACTGGAATCTGGTAGTCGACCAGTGACAACACTCAGCCAGCATTGCCAAGGGAGCACAATTGTTAAACACCACCACTTGTTCCCCGGGCGCTTTGGAAATCGGACTACCGGTATCTTCAGTAGGGAGTGGAACAGTTTTTTGGCCTTCGGATAGCAGCAGGGAGCGAAAAGTGTTAGGCAATACCAGAGTGTTTTTTTTGCTATCCTATATTTTTTTTAATGATTTCTTAAATATGTTTCCAGTCCCAAATCATTTTTTTTTTTTCAGAATATCGGGCATGCAATTGTGAGTGCTGAAAATAGCCAGTCAGCACACACTCAAATCTTGCGCACTGCAACTACCCCCCTCTCCCTTTTCGCCTCCCTTCTGGGCAGCCCACCGCATCAATGGAGGAGAAGTCCATTTTCTATGAGGCGGGAGGATGGGTGGTTTAAGCGATTCTTCGACCCGACCATTGGACTGGAGCATTATGGCATTCGGATAGCAACGACAGCCATTGATCTTGTTCTTGCTACAACTTGCTCTCTTGGACTATCTCCCACGCCGATCATTTAGCGCGCATCGCTATTTTTCCGAGCTCATGTGATATTCGTTAACAAATGTGGAGTTCACACATATAGGTGTATTAAAGCACGGCAGGAACGCTGTCGTTTCTTTTGTGTCCTCCTTTCTTCTTTCTTCCTGCTTGCATGAAGTGCGTAGCATTTTCTGAATATCTGAAGCTTGCCCCTGATGCTTGGAGGCCCAGTTATCTCGATGAGTAGGTGGATACGGGCGCCTCCGCCGGAGTATGCTTGTTGCTGCATTATTCTCCCAGGAAGCTGGATCAGAAGACCTTTTAGGCGGATAGCAACTCCTCTGCAAGCACTGATTTGAGGTGCATAGGCAAGGCAAGGAGAAGACCTCCTGAAGCCTGATCAGAAATCTCTTTGTCAAAGGGAGAAAGAAGAGTGTTTTTTTTTTTTTTTTTTTTACTTGGCGCAATCCCAGTGTATGGAGTGCGTTGCACTGCGCAAGACAAGATAATGCCGATGATCGGTTCTGGCACATTCGTCACTGGGCAGTCGACGATGTGTGAAACTGCCAATGAAAGATGTGGTGTGCGCCCAGTCCTGTGCAGCAGTAGCAATCTTCTGTCACTGTCACCTGCCCCTTTCTAGGGGAAACGTCCGGAAGCACTGCTGCAACCCGGAAAATGACTAACTTGAGAGCACTAATAAATGTGGACAAGTCCTTAGCGCACGTCTGTACAGCCCCTTGAGGACCAGAAAGTCCGAACACACACAGAGAGAGAGAGAGAGAGAGAGAGAGAGAGAGAGAGAGAGAGAGAGAGAGAGAGAGAGAGAGAGAGAGCACTTTGACCTTGTGTCCACACTGGAGTCCGTCTTTGGACTGGCGGACCCAAGGCCGCTAGCTCACAGTGGTTAGAGCACCGGTAGGAAATGTGCATCGTGGTTTGAGGTTGCGGGTTCAGAACTCCGCAGCCTCATGCAGGCACACCGGGGGGTGTGTTGACCGACGCACGACCATTTGCACACTCGCCTTGCGGTTTGGCACACGGCAAGGACTACAGACACTGCCTGTGCCACCGAAGGTTTGGGTTGTGGTTTTCGTATGGTGGGGTTAAGACTATGGGAGGTCTGCCGCACATTCTTGGTTCATGGGTGGTGTTCCGATGATCATGGGTTGTGCTATCCATGGGCTTTGAGGGAGTAAAAGGGGGGGGGGGTTGAGAAGTAGGGGAAGGATAGAGTGCTACTTCCTCGAGTTGAAGGGTTGTGCAGATACGAGCCTGATGGATTTGGTCCTGTGGTCTGTGCAGTGTTCAAGCCTCAAGGCATGAATGGATTTGGTCCTGTGGTCTGTAATATGCTTGGATGATTGGATTGTCCGGAACTATTAGGAAGGTCGGTATTGTGTCGTGTAAGGTCTTCAGCATAGCCTTCGCATTTTTCCAATCCTGCCCCTGACATTAAGGGGACCATCCAGGGAGTCTGTAGCTAGCATGGTAGGGGTAAGTACGTAGTCCAGGGTCCTATGCGCAATCGGAGTAGGACTGTGCTCCGAGTCGACCGAAGGGATAACTGAAGGAAGCATAGAGTGTGTGGGTAGGGAGTTGTAGGGGGGCAGCAGATGTTTGACACTCACGATTCCCGAGGGCGAGCTTCTGGACTATCTTAGGATGCCTAAGGGCTGCACTTCACCAGCAGAAACCATAGGTAATCCCTGTATATGGATACCCGATGGAATGGGGGGGGTATCATACATGTTCAGATGGGTGGTTTGGGTAAATCACATCAAAGTAGAAGGGCAGTTAGCTCCCACATAGAGTCTGCTTGCTGGGATGCTGGGTCTCCCCGCTGACTGGTCATCGCTGGCGATCCGAGGTGCCCTACATTGCACCCGCGGGGCTAGTATTAGGTCTTTGGCAGGTGTCTAGAGCGTGTATGATACACGTGCCGCTGTAGGCTCATTGGAGGGACCAATTAGATCCCCATTAGGGACCAATCAGGGACCAGTTAGAACCCAATTAGGGACCGATTAGAGCCCAACTAGAGCCCAATTAGAGCCCAATTAGAGCCCAATTAGGGACCGCCGCAGACCATCGGGATAACCAAATGGACGACTACCGGTGGTGACTGGCATACGTCTAGCATCCAATCCTTACAACAACCTGGACTTTAAAAAAAAGTCAAAAAGAAAAAAAAAGGTATGTCAAGAATCAGTAGGAGCTGGGGTCGATTTGATTAGCAGATGATGGATTGCAGTAGTGGCTAGAAGAGAGAGAGAGAGAGAGAGAGAGAGAGAGAGAGNAGAGAGAGAGAGAGAGAGAGAGAGAGAGAGAGAGAGAGAGAGAGAGAGAGAGAGAGAGAGAGAGAGAGAGAGAGAGAGTGTAGGTGTGTGTTCTTTCTGTTGCTGACAGGATAGCGTGGTAAGTGGAAGGAGAATTGAGGTTGAGGTTGATTCTTTTTTGGATCTCTTTTGTTTTTTGGAGTTTGGGAAATAAGAATCTCTGTTACAATGGGCAGTGTTCGATCCTTGCGGGGGCAGCGGGGGGGCTGTTCCCCCTGCAAAATGTACTGGCAGGTGCTGTGCCTCTGCTGGGCTCTTCTTCTACTTGCTGTGTCTCAATGTGAGACTTTAGAGAATGCCGGGAAAGCCGGTCGCGCGACCAAAAGCTTGTCTTTCCTGCAGGCATCATCACCTGTTACAGACAGTGGTCTTCCTGAGCCGGCGCAAATGGTATTGCGTTTCATTGAAAATGCAACGCAGCGCAATGCTGTCTGTGCAGATGCTACCCCTGCTGGATATTACATTCGCAACTACACTGGTATCACAAAATGGGTGATCTTTTTGGAAGGCGACCCAAACGTTGTGGAGGAGCAATTTGTGGTGAGCAGGTCGAAGGTCCGAAGAAGGTACGCGATGTCGTCCACGGGCTGGGGTCCGACTTTATCGGGGTACCTGATGGTGTCTCCGTATTCGACCGAGAACCCAACCTTCTACGGGTTCAATCATGTGTTGCTGAGGTATTGCAGCCAAGACTTCTGGATGGGCGATGTTTCATCGTCGGAAGTAAATGGGACTGGCACTATGCGAGGGTTCCGGATCTTGCAAGAAACTCTGGAAGATATCCGGGAGCTCGAACGAGCGACAGACATTGTCTTTGCGGGTAACAGTGCAGGTGCAATTGGGGTTATGAAGCATGCAAACTGGATGTATCAGTACCTGCGGAGCTCGCGCTTCAGGGCAGCGTCCAGCGCTTCTCCGTCGCTAAAGATCATGTTAGACTCGCCATTCCTGATCGAGCACGGAGGCATGCTCAATGCTGCTCGAGACTCTATTCAGCCGATCATCGATAGCGACCCTGATTGTAGCTTGGTCGATGGTATACCATGCTGCTTACTGCCATACTGCATGCTGGGATCGATGAAAAGGGAAAGCAACATGGGTGTGTTCTTGACGGCGAGCCAGTACGACGGTTATGTCTTGTTCCGCGCGAAGGGGGAGGTGAAGAACTCGAAGAGCGCTCAGCAGATTGTCTCCAGCAGTCACATTCAGCCGCTCGATTACTATCTGTTCATGGCGGATATGGTTGGCTACAAAGAGTCTGTGGGGCAGACCCTTCTTTTCGATGCCATCGCCAAGAATCCTTTGATAAGCTACTTCATGCCGGCATGCCTCCATCACTCTCTTCTTCCTCCGACAAACGACTGGTTCCACCGGCGGGAAGGAATGGGTTTTCGAGAGGACGTCAATCTCACTTCGTGGTCGATTGTTTCTGTCGATGGTCGCACTCTTCGTGATGCGATCACCAAATGGTTCAACACGACAGATCTCACATCCAAGGCGGTAACGCTAACAGACACCTGTCTCGGTGCGCTGTGCAATCCAACTTGCCTGACGACGTACGATGTTTCTGCCACCTCATCTCATATGCTGGATAGGCCGATCTGTTTTGGCCTGCTCCTCCTCGTGTACGTATTCTTGCTCGCACCGATCGTCCTGGAGCTTGTAATAGTGGGAAGGTGGTGCAAAATGTTGATAACGCAGCAGAAGGTGTTGAAGGTCAGGTCTGTGGAAAGGGCGGAGAGAGAGGCCCGAAGGGATACCTGGAGGGAAGAGAATGATGTTTCAGGAAGTGATGAGATTGGCGGCGGCACAAAGAAGGAAGGGGAAATCAGCAGTTTCGAAGACAGGCCGCTGTCAGGTGTAGAACGAGGATCGTCGGCATTAGATCGCGACTTTGGGGGTGATGCTTTGGAGGTGGCGCTGGAGGACCAAGTGTACATCACGTTCCATCAACTGTCTTACTGGGTGGATGGGCCGAATGCGAAGAACGGAGTGAAACCCAAACAGATTCTGAAGAGGGTGTCGGGTGCGATCAAACCGGGCGAATTGACTGCCATTATGGGTCCTTCAGGCTGCGGCAAGACGACTATGCTGGAACTGCTGATGGGGCGGCGACGTTGCGGGGTTCTCGGCGGGTCCATCATGGTGGATGGGGTGCCGTTCGAGGATCAACGGGAGTGGATGGAGGCAAATGCTGCGTTCGTGAAGCAGGAGGACGTCGGTTTTGCCGAACTCACGGTCCGAGAGAGCTTGACGTACAGCGCCATGATGAGGCTGCCACGGACCATGGATGATAAGCAGAAGCTCATCAGGGTCGAGCAAATTATCGAAGAGCTTGGGCTCAGTGAATGCGCAGACGTTATCTATGGCAACGAGAGTGGCCCTCGTCTGAGTGGTGGTCAGCGAAGGCGCCTTTGCATTGCCACCGAGTTGCTCACCCTCCCTGTCGTTATAATGCTGGATGAGCCCACTTCCGGTCTCGATGCCACAGCAGCCCTTGAGCTGACTCAACTGCTGTTGAGGCTTGCTCATACGGGGAGGACAGTAGGGATGATTGTGCACCAGCCAAGGAGAGAAATGTTTGATATGTTCGACAGGCTCATCATCATGCTGGATGGCCAGATCATGTTTTCTGGAAAAGCAAACCTGGCAGCTGAGTTCTTTAGCCATGTACTTATGGAGGAGCGGGAGGAGAGTTCCAGCATGAGCGGAAGCTCGTCGCTGAGCCTCGGGTCCTCGTCCACATCCCCCTTGTTGCTGGGAGGTTCTGCCTCGCGTCACAAGCGCTCCAGTCTTCCTGAGAAAGGGACCTACCTGGCCGCTGCTGCGGCCAACCCCGCCGATCTCCTCATCGACCTCCTAAAATCGGATGGCAAGCGCCTTAAACGGTTTGCGACCATGAAGTCGTTTCGCCATATCAGACAACGAAAGCTGAGCATGACCGCCTCTCCCAAGCACGAGAGAGGTGGAACCTCCACCCCTCCCAGGTTCTTCCTTAGTCCGCTGATACTGGCCCGCGTTCCGGGGGCCCAGAGGCTAGCAGAAATATACAACCCGGGTAAGAACTCTTGGAAGTCGTCATGGTTCACTCGGCTCTGGGCTCTGGAGGCGAGGGTGTTCACTCGTGGGGTTTGGGGTTGGCAATCGATCCTCATCTTCCTTGTGGCTGGGGTCATTGGGGGTGTCATCTGGATGTCGGCGGACCGCGTGGCTGTCCTCTCCATAGCGATAATGGCAATCATTGCGATGCCCCCGTACGTGAATGCGCCCTACATTGGCGATCTCTTCTTCAAAGAGCTGCCCGTCTTCCGCTTGGAACAGGCGGCTGGCGCTTGCGACGTCTTCGATTTTATTGCCCATCATGTCATCCACAATGGATTCCTGTGGACCATCGCGGGCCTGGTGTGGATCACCCCCATGTACCGAATCCCGCCAATAGCGTACGAGATGGAGCGGTACATGGTCTGCCTCGCAATTTTCCTCACCATGATGCAGCTCTCTGCAAGGATTTTGATGCTCGTCTCCACGGTCGTCAAGACATTTGAGGCAGCAATTCTGTACAACGCCATCTGGCAAGGTCTGAGTCTTGCGCTCGCCGGTGTTTTCGTACCCATTGCGTACATACCGAGCTTTTTCCGGTGGGCGATATACCTATTTCCCAGTTATTTGTGTTTCTCTGCTGTCTGCGAAGTTAGTTTCACAGGAAGGGTCTGGCAGTGCGAAAGCCCATCGCCGTTGCAGTGCCTCTCGCGCACCGGCGATGCGTGGCTGAAGTTCCTTGGTTTTGAAAGCATCAGCGCCTGCACGCATCTTGCCGCGCTCTTTGTTTATCATTGGGGCCTCGTTTTCGTCTCCTTCTTCTTGCTGGCCGCGCCCTGGCGACAAAAGTATCCGAAAAAATGCACAGAGGACATGGATCGTGCCGAAAACAAAGCGATAATGGGCACAATAACCGAGAGTTAGTTGAGAGTTAGTTTAGTTTTCTTTTTCTATTTCCTTATTTTTTATTAATATTGCTTTTATTTATTTCCAGACCACTGGGCGGGCACAATGATTGAGAGTTTTGTCTCTTTTTCAAGTTTTTCTGTTGCGAGAGAGTTAGTGTTTTTTTCTTTTTTTCTTTTTTCCGTTATTGCTTTTCTTTCCAGACGAAGCGGAAGCTCCTCTGCTGCCACGGCCATCTCTCTCTTTCCTATGGGCACAATAACTGAGAGTTAGTTTCTTTTTTTCTGTTCCCAGAGTTAGTGTCCTCTTTTTTGTGTCCTCATTGCTTTCCTTTCCAGACCAAGCCAAGCTCCTGCCAAAGCCATCTCTCTCTTTCCTATTTCGTTTTTTTCCCGAGATCAGCTATAAGTTATTTGTAATCTGATCTGAGCGGGCCACCTCCATCAAGACTGAACCCATTGTATCCATCATCACATCAAGCTGCTGCTCCTCCTGCTGCTTCTCTCTCTCTCTCTCTCTCTCTCTCTCTCTCTCTCTCTCTCTCTCTCTCTCTCTCTCTCTCTCTCTCTCTCTCTCNTCTCTCTCTCTCTCTCTCTCTCTCTCTCTCTCTCTCTCTCTCTCTCTCTCTCTCTCTCTCTCACACACACACACACACACACACACACACATGATCCATGCGCAAGATGGCTTGATTGCCCATCTTCGATTTCCATGTTTCCACCAAGAGCGGTGGTGTGTCCCCTTCGGTGGGTGACTGTAGGTGATGAATAACTGCAGGAGTGCTTACTCTGAGCTGAGCGAGGACTTTCCTCGCTAGCTTTGCTTGGTCATAGGTCTGGCTGGTGATGGTGACGCTGACGCCGATGCGATGCAAGGCTGTGGTCTGCTGATGCTGTCACGTTTGTTTTGTACCTAGACACGCACCGTAGGAGTTTGTCCACACTATGGACTATAGATTCTTCAGGCTTCACAGGCCCAGATTGAAGTAGCTCACTGTAGCTGTATATTTACTAGTTGGTGAACTTTGATGTGATGGCTTGACTTTTTGAATTGGGCGTTCAGTGGCAACGATTGCCCATGGCGAGGGACGATGCCTATGAAGAGGAGGGAGGGAGGGGACAAAGGGCGTCTGAGGAACGGAGTTTATGTGCTTCGTGTAAGGTTTTGCACCAGAACGGTTTTTATTATTATTCTGTGGGACTCTTTTCTGGCAGATGCGCATGCCAGACGTTTTGACGTTGTGTTCTTCCGAATCGAGTATTTTGAAGGTATCTGGACAGATGAGTGGAACAGATACATTCGGTTCAAAATGTTTCGATCGGTCGTCATCGAATGGGAGCATCGCTGCGCAGTCGTAGCCCTTGCTGGCAGCCTGTGTTTCTGCTTTTTTTTTTAACCGCTAAAAGAGAAACATTTCATGGGGGGCTTTTTGGTGTTTTGGAGCACGACCACCTGACGTCAAACTGCACAGGCGCAACCAACGGCGGCAGCAGAAGCAACAGCAGCAGCAAGGGGGATGGCGATCAATCAAGGCGTACTCACACTAGGACTTTTTCCACATCATGTGTGTGTGTCTGGACGTAGTTGCCATCAGGTGCATCCAGGAATGGACGAACTTACGGTCAGATACATCACGAAAGTGCTTGTGCTCGTGTGAGTATGCCCTCAGTCAATCAGGGGAGCAACTTCAGCATTTCACAGAAGCGATCTGGAGTCACTGTAGTGGTAATTACTAATTATTAATTATTAATAATTATTAATTGTGTGTGTTCCTTTTCTCTTCCCTTCCAGTACGCAGCTATGGTGGTCAGCGGGTCATCAATCTGTAGGGCGCCAACATGCCCTCAGTAGGAGGTGCAGGCATCTACGCCACAGTAGGCATTGAAGGGTCTCCTTGTTTTGTGAGGGGTCTCCTTTCTCTTTGAGGGGTTGCCTTTTTTGTGAGGGGTCTCCTGTTTTTTTTTTTCTGAGGGGTCTCCTTTCAGCAAGGCTGTCAGCATCACAGATGCAGGTCCAAAGAAGAGAGGACTGCCTTTTTGTCATGATTATCATCATCAATAAGGAAGCTGCCATCTTGTCATTGATTTTTGTTTGTTTGTTTGTTTGTTTGTTTGTTTGTTTGTTTGTTTGTTTGTTTGTTTGTTTGTTGGGTGTGGGGGGTCAATAAAACATCAGTTATCTAACTTATCTTGTTGGTGTTCTCCATCTTTTTTTTTTTTTGGTTTGTTTTTTTTGGTTATAATGACAAGGCGGGGGATGTGTTTTATTATTAAATTAAGATGTTTTCTCAACTTTTTTGAACTTTTAAGTTTTAATTTATTTATCTGAACAGCGTCTTGATTCCTGACCCGGTTATTATTAAATTAAGATTCCTGACACGGTTATTATTCAATTAAGATTCCTGACACGGTTGCGTCTTGATTTTTATCTGAACACCCGAATCTGGATGTGTTTGTGGGGAGGGGCAGAAAATCAGGATTGAACTGCTTTTCCGCATCTCTGCATAAAACACATCCAGATTCAGCACCTTAATCCAATCCTCCTCGCTAGTGGGACCCCGCCCAGGGCCAGCCGCCTGTGGATATATCTCAAGGCTGTTGCCTTTGCAGAAAACAAGCAAACAAACAAAAAAAAAGGTCTAACCGAACAAGCAAGCAAGCAAACAAACAAACAAACAAACAAACAAACAAACAAACAAACAAAACAAACAAACAAACAAACAAAAAGAATGGTCTAACCGGAAAAAAA